CCAAACGGTTGTGCGAGTTTTGCAGGTCGCCTACGAGCCGCAAGCAGGCATTATAGAACGTCATCAAAAAGCACACGAATTTTCTTTGCAAATTACTGCTGGGATTATTCTCCTCACTTTTCCATCCATATCCGTTATGATTGCTCACCTTTAATCGCGAAGTGATGTGATTTGAAGGCTCTTGTCAACAGGCTGCATTTTGCCATGCCTTCAACCCATCAAATGAAGCGAAGAGGTCAGATTCGTGTTTTGAGGAACTGCGGTGCATGCTTAATTATGGAAAACTTTGTGTCACGCCTACTGTGATCATTCTAAATAGCTTATTTTCTTTCAGGAAGGTTTTCACTTATTGAGCCAGTCAGGCTTTTACGTAATAATATTTGTTTTAATTTTCTGCCATACTTTTAAATTTCCTAATTTTCCGTACGCTCAGTGGTTGAACTTCCGCGGTTTTAATTTGTAAAAGACAAAGTCCAGTTGGCGTTTTTGGAAATCCTTGATTGTTTAGTGGTGCGCAAGATTCCGCATCGAAGAAAGTGTTGAAGTTGCTGCAAGTTGTGGCAGATAATTGCGCTTGCCATCTCCCATGACATCAAGCACGAAGACGATGAACATTTGAAATTTGCAAACATTTGAATAGTGGTGCATATTTTGTTTTCCTACTTCATCACTTTTGTGTCATTATGCTCCTCTGCAACAGAAGTACGTTTTATCCATAACTGCATTTGCCATCATTTTATAATGGGTGAGAGAGTGGAGTAGCCACTTCGCAGATGTTGAAACCTACTGCCGCATAACAGCGCCACATCATTGCTTTACTGAGAAGATGTCTTCGTGACGAGAACTATAACTTCCTCCAAACGTTCTTCGTTACTTGGGAGGTATCTTAATAATCTGTGAGACTGCATTGGCAGCGTGGTGGTGTGAGTTCACAGTAGACGAAGTGAAGTGCTCCCCAGTGTTTTGGTTGATATTTATGCTTAAAACTTGCCGCTGACAAGAATAACAGGAGCACCGAATGTTTGTGAGTTTGAGTGACTTAAGGCTGTGAATAAAGTTGAACAATCCGAACTGACCATCAGCCAATGAGGACTACTGATCGAGTTGCTCGTACTAGCTATTCCTTCTTAGAAGGTGCGTCAGGGAAGCAACTTCAGACAGTTGTATTGCTCATTGAAGCCCTCGTACTGGATGTTGCAACGACTTCACTGTTTCTTCAAATGCCTAGCCCGATGCTATTGGCGATATGTTCAGATTACGGAACCGATTAAAATTTGTGTAATTGAAGTCGGAATTCATACCTTCGTAACCATATTTGTTTGTGATCCGGGCGATTGTGATTGCGTGTATTGACAGTAATTGGTTTGCCCTGCCCTTAAAGCGTCCATCACTGCGGTGAAAGTAGGTCTCTCCAGAGCAAATGGGATCAGACAGGACTAGCCGGGACCACAAATCCCTGGGATCTTTGTTGACTAGTAATCAGCTGGAGCCTCCAGATTTCCGAACAAGGACATATTTCGTAAAGAATGCCGGAATATTGCCAAGAAGGAGTGGTGTCAATATATCTTTTATTAGCACCATCGCGGGGGTAGATTCACAATTGAATACAAAATATTATATTTAAATACCGAACCTTTATATAGGTCACCGATCCCGTGCTGCGAGAGGCACTAGAGGGTCAGATTACCTGTTTTGGCCAGACACCAAGTCAACTGTTGACAACACCACATCCTCCGCGGGGCTCTGCACTTGCTGTTTGTCCGCGCCTCTTTGCCCCGCCTGTACACGAAGTCACCGCTCGTCTGCGTCCAGCATCGCATGCATCTATTCTTAACCTTTTCTTCGTATCTACTCCCCACCACGGCGTCGGTGGTGATGTCTTCCTTCTAACTGTCTCCGCTAATTGTGTCTTCACCGTTAACAGGTGGAATAAGTCTGCTGCAGCTACTGCTGTTGCTGCGGATTCTGGTGAGCTTTTTTGCTTCTCTTGATATGACTCGAGGTTTTGAGGTGGGCTCTGTATTTATTCTCGCCTCCCTAATAACTTGAAGCAACCCAATTTGATAAGCACTGATTTCAGTTCATTGTTTTCATCCTAGATACCGTTCGGCGCAAAGGTATGTACATTCTATTTTTTTTTTAATTTACCCTTTAAATGTAAAATCAGACTGTCCCATCCTTTACGAGTCGCATTTACGGTTTCTACTGGCTCTTCATCACCACCTTGGAAGTAGCATAATCATTTTATAGTTTTCAAAGTAACCTCCCCTACTTCATCATCGGCGGATTCCAGCGAGACCACAAGGTTTCAGGAGCCTTCAGTCCCTCCGCCGTCTTCTCATTCATCATCACTGACCTCGAATCGTCCTGCCTCCGCCACCCTACCTGCCATTTCAGCAGAAAATCAAGCCACTCCAATCCTCACCCTTGATTCCACACCCCTTGGTAAATTGCCGATCCTCTGGTTTCTGGGATACCTCAAAGCTAGCTGTCCTCAACGGCCTGTCAGTTAACGTTAATGTGATACTGTTTCAATGTTGGCGCGTTACTGCACCCTAGGTAGTGGTGTTAGCTGGATCAAATGATATCACAGTGCAATTTACATCGAAAATCTTTTTTTTGACAGTTGTACTCAGTTTGAAGTTGGTTATTTAAGTAACTGTAGATTTATTTCGGACTAATTAATTGGTCATGCCCTTTATTCGTCATTGGTCGACTCCTGAAATGGCAAATCCTTATTTTCTTAATTTTTCCTCACAGCACCAAACCCCTCGGGGAATCGACGCTATATTGGCGAGAACATGGACCCTTCAATTCGCCTTACCGCGAACAACTTCGTGATCACCAGTGATGGCCGTGCTATCGTTGCATGCGGCTACTTTGACTACTCTTTTCGCATCTTCTCTGTTGATTCGGGTACGGTAACTCTCTTCTTCGCGCAAGAGATATCTGAAGGCCTAATAATAGGGTTGACACGGTTAGCATGGTCTTTGTTTCCAGAAGGGTTGAAAAGTCTCACAGTCGCACAAATAACTGAGATCAACATTTCAAGCCAGTAGGACCATTTTCTTCATCAACTGTTTTACTTCGAGGTACCTATGCTATAGCTATTTATGGAACTAAACATCTCCATGCAGCTGCATTCTACTTTTAGTTGTCATTTGCATCCTCTTTTACTGCACTTATGTGAAATCTGTGGCCGATGAAGTTGGTATTAGTGTTTCTCAGAAGAGGTTGCCATCATCTTGTTTACTCACCCTCCGAGTAGACCCTAGTAGCCCCATAAGGGACATCGCTTAGCAATCATCCCCATTTAGAGGGAAGAACTGGGAGACTAGCAGAAGGGTTATCCAGGCTGGATAGTGAACTTTGGGTTTGGAAAGCATTTGTCTGCGAAGACCCTCTTCCTCATTGGTGTGAATGTGCAGTATTCACTCCCCTCCTTTACGGTAAAACCTACATGTTATTGTTATAGTAGCAACCAACGTAATCCTGAGATTGGAGGCCTGGGTTTGACTTGACTGCTCCACATAGCAAAGGTAGCATAAGTCTAGCAACGTACAGGCCGAAATGTCGGGAATAAAGACGTACTAAATGCAGAGTGGGAGTAAATAGGCATCCCCTTGCGACAAATTTCAGGTCGATGTGTCCAGAGCGTGTGCGGCCACCAGGACGTAGTTACATGTCTCGGCCACTCAGAATCAACGGCCACTGGACATTGCTATCTCGCATCTGGAGGTCGCGATGGTCTTGTCTGTCTCTGGATCTTCGACACAAAATCCCTCTCTCTCTTCGGACACTGTAGGTTCCGCGTATCTCTCTGCTCTTTGAAACTACTTTCCCATTCCTTATTGCTTGTATTCGCTTTCTTTCTCTTTCTATCTAAACACTGATTTCCTCTTTTCATCTATCTGTAGATCTCTATTCAATTTTTCATATCTTTTTTGAACAATTTATCTTTGTCCCACTCTTCTCTCTGTCCCAATTTGTATTGTCTTACTCTCTTCTATGTGTGCTTCCGCTTCTTTCTACATCATGCTGGAATTCGGTCATTTGATTGGTCATATCTTTGATCCAAATGGCTCCTGAATTTTCTTGATTGCTGTTCTATCTGTCTGCCTCCGCCTACGATTTTCCTGCCAACCTATCTGCCGACATTCTTCTGCCTTCTCATTTTTAGCCTTCAGTTTATCCCCTCACCCTCTTCATGGCTTGTCCCCACCATAACCATTTTTCTCCCAACAACAATAATCAACGCTTTTGGTGGATTTCTCCCACTATGATGTTGTTAACTCGTAGAAAAGCACTGAAAAAAAGCCAGAACTGAAGTTTAACTTTGCTATACTAACAGAATATGCTGCTCTTTATAGCCGGAGCAATGCCGATGCCTCACGTGACGCTTGTCGGCCACCAAAATGCTCTGCAGTGCATAGCGATTTCAGCTGAACTCGGTCTGGTATTCAGCGGCTCTGAAGGCAAGTCAAGCCTAAGTGGAACCCCAAACTCCTAGTACTGTAGTTACTTATTCCCGCCAATTTCACTCTTAGTGGTCTGTTTCTTTAGAATCAGAGTAGGAGCTGAAGGTTTTAAATTGAACATTTCTTAAAGATGGTACATGTCCACTGCCCTCACAGAACGGAGATGCGCCACATGAAATCGCATTAATTCCTAGATTATGCGTTACTCTGGCATTCATGCGCACTAAAGGATAGTTGAATATTCACAGGCATGAGTCCCGGAACTGAGCCTCGGAAACAGGGCCATCACGGCCTAGGTCAGTATTGGTAACTTTTGTATCCCTCAGGTGTCTTACTATGGTTTCGGATCTCACCATCGGAGACTGTGCTTATTTAAGGAAAGGAGTCAAATAACTGTGCAATTTGAGCGGCTAAGGCAGCAGCTTCACTATGCCTACTAATAAAGTGCACTTTCACATGCTCTGCTCTCATTGAAAATCGCATTTTCCCCCAAGCATGCACTTCGTTTGAAATGCACTTTCGCATTTGCAAGTAAGCACTACGACACAGTTCTGACCATGATTTTAGGGTATCATGAAAATTTGCTTGGCATGACAACAAACTGAAATTCAGATGAAATGACTGACTTGATGTGTGCGTACGTTTGATGGTTTTAGGAGGCGCCTGCCTACTGCACACCACGCAGGGTGAGCTGCTGCGTCGTTTTGAAGCACCACAAACGGTGGCGGACCGACTGCGCCCTTGTACTGCCTTTGCTGGGGCCGCTGGTGCTGCTACTGCTTCTGCCGCTGCTACTGCCATTGCTGCATCGCCAACACGCCTCGTGGTGACACGACACGGTTACGTGGTCTTCCAACTCGGTGCCACCAAACTTGTCGTCTTCACACTCAACGCGTGTCTTGTGGCTGCCACTGACCTTCACCGACAGGCACGGCTCTAATACACTCATTAGCATTTCTTTCCTTCACCTAATTACCTCCGCAAGTCATTGCGATTTCGTCCAAATAGCGGGTTTGACGGTGCCTCAAATTGAGTATTCACTGGGCATTTTTTCCACAAAGTTCAAGCTCAAATTTTAGTATGCTTCTTAATGTTTGTAGATCCAGAGCGAGGTCATTGATGGAAGGAGTAGTACCAACACCATCTCTCGTACCTCTTCCACTCCCGCTCCTTCCTCTTCTTCCTCCTCCTCCGATGGTTCCCCGCTGGTAACGTCTCTGGCACGAGCGCACTCACAGTCAGGCACGGATGGAGAGGGGTACGCAGTTAGCGCAATAGCAGTAACTCGATGTGGACACTTCCTCCTCGCCGCTGGTAATGATGGCGTCGTCTTCATCCTCCACCTTCATTCTCTTCGACTCCTCCACTCTTTGCCCCGCTGCAAAGCACCCATCACTGCACTTGATATTAGCCCTGACCAGAGGTAAGTTTATGCTGCGTATTTTAAGCGCAGTTTGATTCCAGGAACCGCTACCTATTTCCCTCTGCTTTTGGCGTGATTCGAATTAGTTGTGTATGTTCACTTTACGTGAAGATCATGCGTTTCGCATTTTTGAATTGCCCTGAGTGCTTTTTTTAAATTGGAAACCGAGGAATTTTTCATATAGGATCTTAAGCCCGTTCACATTGACAGTTGATTCAGTCGGTAATGTTTTTGCACAGTTGGTCGTCTCGCATGATATTTGTGAGCATTAGCGATTGGGGGGCCTCTAGTGACAGAAATTACGTTTAATAAGGTTTTGAGGTGCCGCTTCATTTTGTTGGCAAAGCCTAGCAACGGACTAGAATGAGACTGTATCCGATATGAAGATCACAAGGGTCAAACAATTGAAAGTCTAAACTTTGGCCTGGTCTTCTGGTAATAATTGGAAGATAAGAACGGTTTTTTTTACTTCCCCAGGTTCATTGTAGTTGGTCTCGCAAATGGCGGCCTTGTGGTTTTCAACGTGAACTTCAATCGGTGGAGGGAAGACATTCAAGAGGGAAAATCAACGCAGCAAACACTTACAAATCAAGGTTATCAAGAAAAGCCCACCAACCCCTCCTCATCTCCTTCTGCAGCTACCATTACCACCGCTAAAACTCAAGTACAGGAGATGGAGAGCCTGGAGCAGCAACCAACACCACCCAAATCCGTCACCAACACAACCCACTGATTTTGTATGCTAGCGCCCCTCTCCGTCCACTTTCTCATGTCCTCATCCTCCTCTTTCGTCTTGTCTTGTTCCAAACTTTTCTGTTCTCTATCTTTGTGTTTTAACATCATGCTTTCAAACATTCCAACGATGAAATCAATCAAGTGAAAGGACAGCTTGATACTTTTTTAGAAGTAGAAGCGGCAAAAGAAGGTGGGATCGCTATATTTCACAGAGAGAGGAAGAAGTTATTGCACGTAAACACATAGGAAATGAATGAGTAGGAAATATAGGCAAAGCCTAGTCATCTTCATTGGCTGTCGCGCTATGAGCCCCTTCCGCCGAAACGCCCTCGTCAGCGATACCAGATTCGCCTTTATGAGCACCACCGCTGACTACGTAAGCAACTGAGAAGGCGTTCGGGGCTTGACGCTGGTTGTGGTGATGATTTGGTGTCGTTTTCTCGACGTCGCCCCCACTACCTACTCCCGCCCCTTCGTTTTGCGCAGTCATATGGGCTGCATCGTCGTCTTCCTCCATCTTTTCCACCGTTCCCCTCACTTCCTCCTCATAACCTGTCTCTTCGTCTGAAAGAAGAAGGTCACTTTGTGGCCTCACTTTTCTTCCCAAAAGGGGCAATTCAGATCAAAGACCGTTGAAAAGAATGTTGCCTCCAAAGGTCATGATCACATTGAAGCTTCCAGCAATCAGTTAATGTTTTTTGATTTTAGTAATTTGAACTGAAAGTTTCAGAAAATTTAACCATTCCGAAGACAGACCTATAATAAAACGCTGAAATTCGAAGGATACAGTGTTTGGAGTGCAGCAGTAGAGAAATTCACAGCTGTTTAGCCTATGCATATCCAAAAGCGTCTTGCTAGTCTACTGTAATAGATTGCGTAGAGCTAGAACCTTTGAAAGACCAGTTACTGCTATGGGTCGCCTTAAGTAGTGACATATTAGTGGGGGAAATCCTAGTTATAATACCAATACATACACTGAGGGGCACTTATTTTTGCAGTTATGGAATACGAAGACACAGAAGAAGACAAACTAGGTGACCTTATTTAATCAGAAGAACCCCATCCTATAGAGCATCAGCCGCGAGGAAACTTATTTTTACTATTTATTTTTACTACTGGATAATCCCTTTAAACCAGCAATCCTTCAACAGTTTACAGTTATTGCCAGCCCAGGATGAGTAAGTATCTGGAGCAATAGCATGCTGTACGTTTGCATACAAAAAAAGTAAGTAAATCAATCCTGCAAGCGGCATGACAAAGTAATACGAAAAACAACTGATTACCCGCTCCTTCATCCGCATCCTCATCTTCTTCATCTCCCTCTTCCTCCTCTTCCTCATCTTCTTCGTAATCATCGACATCTTCATCATCAATGTCGTCTTCCCCGCCTTTGCCATCCATCTCGTCGGCCTCGCGACTGCCTTCAATCTCGAAGCAGTTGGCAACATTAACACCACCAGGACCGTCGCCAATGCCTCGACCACCATCACTAGTTCCACCTTCAATAACACCGCCTTCAGACATGGCTGAGACGTCGCGCAGTCGCTTTGGTGCCATCACAAAAGTCCCCTCCTTGTACCGACGCATCTCCTGATCAGTTAAGTCAAAAAAACGTAACATTCATTAGATGTACACTTTCTCAGCGGCTGACTCGACCGTGGGTTACATCAATGACCCACTTCCTCATAGCGCAGTTTATCCTTCTGCGCCTGCAGTTCGTAGGGAGCCTTGTCCGAGCACTCATCCCAAAGACGCCCAAGTTCTTTGGCCACCTCACTAACTCTCCATTCCGGATGTGCGTTACGAACTTCGGATCGATAGTGATCGCAGAAGAAGAAGAAGGCTGAGAGGGCGCGCTTGGGCATTGACGGGTCCTTTAGCCGCCGCCTCTTAGCTCCCCGCATGTGATGGTGATGGTGTTCAAAATTTGATAGTTGCCCACCTGATTGAGGCTGCTGCTGCTGTTGCTGTGGATGCATCATCGGCTGAGGTGGAAGCTGTTGCTGTTGTTGCAGCTGTTGCTGTTGAACATACTCTCCCATCTCTCTGTTGTAACGCTTTGTATCCAAGCGAGACATCTCCTCAAAGGGAGCACGTTTGTCAGGAGGCATCTCCTTCAAAAGTGCAGTAAAGAGGCTGGACGGGATGAAACTATGTCTTACAGAGACTGTACATATAAATAAAGAAACAAACTTACACGCCACCTCTCTGCACACCTCTTAGCAAATTCATTAAAAATTACGTTTTCATTTGGATGTAGAGAGCGATGCTTGTCCCTAATCACTTGAACAAAGCAAGCGAAACCTGAAAGCGGACTCCTCGGCCGATTCTTGTCCTTTAGCCTCATTCCTAAGATCAAGAAAAACCCGCGGCCGCCTAACGCATATAAACAAAATACGCACATCCTTCACGAGTTCAGAATTTACGCTTAAGCAATTCGAATGATGAAAGTTAATAAGAAACTAAAACTTTAGAAACCTTAGCCCAAAAAATAAAATTAATGGCAAAAATACACAGGCAAGTTTAAGAAAACAGAGGAAATTTTCACCACAGCATTTATTTTTACACTTACACAAAAACAACGCACTTATGATATTAATTTATAGCAAAATAATAATTTATAATTTCAGTATCTTGGTTATGGAACCATCAAGTATCTGGTGGTTACTTTGGCACTCGTCTTTCCCTTGTGGGCGTAATCTGGTCTTTCGAGCTAAACCAAGGCTCAAACCCTTCTTCCTCTCCTGGGGTGCATGCATTCAGCCCAACTTATCATTTCTATATACCTAGTGAGAAGTCTTAAGGTGCTACAAGAGTATATCATAATTACGCAATAAATGCATACTTAAAGCTCTCAAGCGCCACTAGACCGATAGAGATTTGAGTACCTAATTTTACCCATCATACCCGAGCGCTAGGATCACATTCAAAGCTATTTCAATTAAAGGTGTTGTAAAAATGGCACAGACAGAGGTACATGTCCTCATTCGTGCTTCCTTTATTCCGTTGCCTGTGTAGCAATCCGAGACCTTCTGGTCGGTATAAAAATTCAGTATACAGCTGGATACATGTATTCTGAGGAGAACAGAGCAAGTGGGCCTGAGCATGGTCAAAAGGCCAGCTCACAAGTACAAGGGACAATCACATCTGTAAAACATTACAGGGATGATATTTATTTACGACTTGTTAAATAAAAGCCATAATTTTGATCATAGGTGCAGCGTCTCGAACCTTACCATCGGGTGGAAGGGGACATTAACTTATGCTGAATACATATATTCCAGAACGAACAATGTGATTAGGCCTGAGCTTGACTCGAAGGCAAATCCAAGTATACATAAACCAAACAGATCTTCTAGTGACCGCAAGATTTCAGGAGGCCACATAAACAGTGTTGCACTGCCCCTCTTCATTTGAGCGACGTCCTCGACGCTCCCCATTGAACACTTCTCGTGCTAGCCATCACAACATAGTAGGTACAGCAACAAAGCGCCCACGGGTTAGCTGCTCCAGCCAGCAGTTACCATGAGACTAGGGAATGGTACTAGGTCGCCTCAGCGCCTTCAACTGGAC